GAACTCAAGCGTGAGAGGGATGTGCAAGAAACGCTACTTCCACAAAACTTACTAATCTGAGCTTGTTACAACTGCTTGTGGGACACTCTGACGGCGTTCAAGTACAAATTGAGCATCTTCTGCGTTGTTACAAAGCGCCGAAGCCAATCTTGAAGAGATTGACGTTGGTTTCAGCACCATAGTAGCCTGGAGAGAGTTGCCCTTGTGATTGCCCCTGATGATCGACGCAGCCCTCAAGGCCAGGTCAAGCCCACAGTACAAAATCTACATGGCTGCGTATTGGCCATAGGTTTTCAGATCGTTGCCACCTGTTCATGGCACTATCGCACTTTGCATCGCAAACACGAGAATTGAGCGAATGCTTACATGGGTTGCAGGAGGCACATCATGAAACTTCTGGAACATATTCATTCGCCGAAATGGTAACACTGGACGAAGTCCTGCATCAAGAAGAAGCGAAGTCGGCGCATTGCAACCTCGAGGGGTCGTAGATGCTAGCTCTGATGCATCTTGAATATTCTACTGCGCTTTTGGCTCTTTGCGGATTCATCACCCGCAAGTATCCTGCACCAGCAAGGAGGATTGGGTTACCATTGACTGGCACCTCGTCTCGGCAGAACCCCCTGCTGCTCAACTACAACCTTCAAGTTCTTGGTTCGGCTATTGACATCCTAGCCGGCCGTGCGCGCGATTAGACCTCTGTAGGTGGGATTCCATATCGTCGCCAATTCGCTCGGGTATGGGGGAACCCCATCTCACCCTGTGATGAGATAGCTGTCTGAACGGACACAATATGCACCCTATTCTCACACGGGAGCACGAACGATTCTCCTCATGACGGGGGCTTGTTCAAGTAGAGATAGGGCTCGGTCCGGGGGCTCTGCTAACTGGGGAAATTGAACCGTTGTTTCATGCGTCGACACGTGGGAGAAGGAGCCCAGTGACCCATCGCTCAGCCATTCTATCCCGCGGCAAGGCGATCAGCCTGTCAAGTCGTCGGGCCGCCGTCCTGCACTACCCCCTCGACGGTCGGACCTCTTGGCAGGAATCGTACGCCCGGCTTCGCATGTCTTTTGAGGATTGTGGCATGATACTAGCATAGGTTTCGATCGTCGAGTCGCAGTCGGATTCGCTCCTCATCGTGGATTATGGTAGTGGCCATCGTGCGGCATGCTACGTGGTGCACTGCCAGCGCGGGGGATCATGCATTCTCGAAGCGGTTGAATCCTCATACGCATCTGTGTAGCTGATGTTGGAAGTCTCCGTAGCAGAATTACTCCGTACCGACACCGAATTCGAGAACTCTGAAGACTGGAAGCTTGTTCTATGCATGCAGCATAACCAATCCCACGTCGCTTGGGGACGCCAACGGGAGAGGGCCGGTGGGATACTGGGTATTGCATCCGATGGGGATCAGATGGCATTCGGGGCAAAGACCCAATCTAGACAGTCCTCTTGAACAGAGATTGCTCACTAAAGCTAGAGATCATGTGGAGGAACGATTCAGCGGATCTAGGAGGCGGGAGAGTCTGAAGCAGATGATCCAGGGTCTGATCTGGCATTTGGTGTTGAGGAGCAGCTGCGAAGATGCCGCTGACAGAGCACGGCAGTCATTCTCACGTGACTTTCGTGACTGGTTCGCGCTAGGACCATCGGCGCTGACCCGTCCGATTGCCCCGATGCCCCACCTGCGCAAGGCGAGACGCGACTTTGCGCCGTGAATCTGTGTCGATGACATCGAGATCTCATGCTGTCGATGGTGCATCTCCAACATGCCCTAGGTGCCCTCCACCGTATTCACGACGCCTCATAGTCGCAGGCTGGCCAAGAACGATTCAAATCGCTAAGAGCCATGCCTGCCGAAGTGATCGACCTTCTCTCCAGCAGCCCCTCGGGGCCCTCTTCTGCGAACGCAAGACCCCCACTATCTCGTCCTGCGCCACCGGCTGTTGTAGCTGTCGCAACGGCGCTGGCATACGGCGATGAAGATGTGTTTGATTTTACAGCCGAATCACCAGAGATTGTCCCGTCCGTACTGCCGAAAGCGACGTCCCCGTCATTGACAAATTCAGCAACAAAACGTGCACGAGAGGAAATTGTTCATGTGAATACGCCCATTTACTTCAACTCGGACGACTTTGATACGACTATCGATCTCGAAAGCAGCCTACCAATTGAAAATGGGTTGAACAACGAACCACGAGAGCGCAAAAGACCACGACTCTCGTCTCCTCGTCGCAGCCGCAGATCCTCCTTCGACCGCTCCCATTCCGCCACTAATCACAACACCCGGCCGCCTGAGAAGCAGGGTGACGGTTTGCGACGAGTACGTTCAGTTGTGGAACCAATCGAATTCTCAAGTTCTCCCGGTGTCTTCTCTCGACCGAGGACAAGTGCTCTAGCTGCTTCAACGGCGGTGGATAGGCTTGACTCCGATGACCCGTTCGCAGCACTGCCGCCTTCAGCGCAGCCTGCGCCGGCATGCGAGAACCCGCGCCCGACGAATGCTACAGCCACCGGGACCGGCCACATAAACTACCAATTAAGCTCCGATGATTCCTTTGCGAGTTCGCCACCTGTGGCACGGAAAACGATACCACAGCCGTGTGCAATAACTTTAGACGATGACGATGGCGACCCATTTGCCAGCTCACCGAGACGAGCGCCGACGGAAACTATGAAACCACCAGATACAAGAACATTAGCTGGGACTGCGGTCAAGGGGAAAGAGAAGGCCGTCTCACCGCCCAGACGAAAGGCTCATTGGGACCCCATCTCGAGCTCTGCGCCCGAGCTAAAGACCAGAAGTGATCCATTTGAGAGCTCTCCTCCTCCACCGCGAAAGACCATGACCAAAGCCGCTAGCGCTGTGATTAATCTCAGCGACTCTGAGCCGGAGCCTGCAGCCCGCGGTCTCGATGCCGACTCGGACGGAGAGTTTCCAGACCTCGATAATTTTGATGTTTCGAAACTCAAAGCACGATTGTATACGAAAAAGCCAGCTTCGCGAACCACCTCAAAGGCGCCATCGAAAGCCACCTCGAAATCGAGTACCAGCCGCGCACCGACGACAAAAACAGTGGAAGAAAAGACGAGAGAGAAAGAAGCGAAAGCTGCGGAACGAGAAAGAGAAAAGGAACGCAAGAAGCAAGAGAAAGATGCTGTCAAGGAGCAAAAGGCCAAGGAAAAGGAACGAGCGGCTGCGCTGGCAGAGGTCAACAAGATCAGGACCGACAAGAAGGTGTCAACCCCCGAAATGATTGCAGATCTCCCGGCTAGCCTGCCCCCGGCCATGACGCTTCAAATACAGACATTGCTAAAAGACCTCGACGTGCAGCACTCTACCTGGGAGAGTCCCGTGGACAACGTGGTTAAGTGGAGGAGAAAAGTTGCGAGTCGGTTCAACGACGAGCTCGGGCACTGGGAGCCGATTCCTATGCGCATTGAACCAGACAACTTCGCGCTTGTCATTGTCACTGCGTCTGAATTTGTCACATACGCCCTGGGACCCGAGGGTAACAACCTCGAGGCCCACGTCTCCAAGATGAACCAACATTTCCCACAGGAACAGCTCATCTATCTAATCGAAGGCCTCAACCCTTGGATGAGAAAGAATCGCAACATTCGGAACCGACAATTCGCATCTGCCGTGCGCGGCGAAGATGCTACAACAGCAGGAGATGCCCAGGCTTCGACGAGTGCAGCCGCTCCCGCCCCTCAACCGCGGCGGCGCAAGAATCAGCAGCCGCAGGAGTACATTGACGAAGACTCGGTCGAAGACGCCCTGCTCCAGCTGCAGGTCATGTACGACGTGCTGATCCATCACACCGCCGCGGCCGTCGAGACGGCGCAGTGGGTCGCAGTCTTCACGCAGCACATCTCGACGGTGCCGTACCGGAAGCAGCGCGAGGCGACCAACGCCGCGGGCGCCGGCTTCTGCATGGAGACAGGCCAGGTCCGCACGGGCGAGGACGTCAAAGATACCTACGTGCGGATGCTGCAGGAGATTGTGCGCGTCACGCAGCCCGTGGCGTACGGCATCGTGTCCGAGTTTGGGACGGTAGGGGAGTTGGTCAAGGCGTTTGAGGAGCGAGGGCCGCTTTGTCTGGAGAACTGCCGCAAGAGTACGAATAAGGATGGCGGTTTTTCGGATCGGGCCATTGGGAAGGCTGTCAGTAAGAGGATTTACAAGATCTTCACGGAGACGGACGAATGGAGTACGGATGTATAGGGTAGGAAGAGGACAGGAGTGGTTTGTTTTGTATGAATAATGACTAGATGATTGTATCGCCATGGCATTCACAGTTGTGGGGTAGGATTCCATTATTTCGGCAGATATGGCTTCATGGAACCAAACTCCCAATGCAAATTCATAATGAAGACCATAAAAGTGGTTTCTTACGTTGACTACTTCTGTTTCTACTCATTTTCGACATGAAGTACCTACCTAGACTTTAAAACTCTTCCTCTCCCACGCCACCGGCATCAATATTCAGCCCAACACGTATCTCAGAAACTTCAAAGACAAGTGATAATTCCCGTGAAAAGCGTTTGATATTTACACCCTGAAGCAAAGCCCTTGTTGAAAAGGCCGCCGAGGTGACTGATGAGTACCGGCCCCCCTGGCCACGGGATGAGGGGTTCGAACCCTCCAGCACTCATCGATGGTCATGTTACGCTTTGATTATAGGCAGTGTGCATCTGACGTTTGTCCCGCTTTGCTTGTAGACAGTTCGGCTTCTGACATGTGTTTATTCCGGCCCTGTGTCTTCGGTGCGCCTGACTGATAGACCAGAATCCCGCCTCCAGAAGACATAGGGCCACCGACAATAGCGAGCGCAAGACTCGTAGGTGCAGTGCCGTGGTTCAAATGGATTCGTTTCCTCTGAGCGTATTTTGCTCTGTGCAGAGGCTCTTGATGATTCAAGTGTGGGGTTTTGCGTTGGGCGTCTTGTACTCTGTGAAGGCTTTTTAATGTTAGCCGAGGCTCCTCAAAGTGATCAGGAACAAATGGAGGTGAATAGCGCTTGTATGTCAGACAGCGGTTGGACTGAAGTTGTTTCCACATGTATACTTTCGGTACAGGTCTGTGAATTTCTTGCCTCATCATGAAAAGCGCACCTCAAAGGGGTTGGTGACGAAATGAAAATTGTACACATACCATTTGTTAACCGACCAAGATAGGACGGGTGAGTAAAACTCCCATGGTGTAGCTAACGCTGTCCATTCAACTGTCCTCGTGCTTCCGTTTGGATGCAGTCGGTTTGAAGAACGCGCTGAGCGTCTTCTGCTTCTCGTCAAATTTTGCGCTGCCAATCCCTCCGCGCGTCTTTTTCAACCCGCGAAGGTGTTCAGTGCAGTTGACTTCCACAATTTCAAGCTTCAGATGGGGCCATCTGGGTTCCTGCGTACCGCTTCGCAGACCAGCAGACTCTTTCGCATCAACTGCCGGCATCGACTTGATGTGAAACAAGAGATAACCGGTGTTGCTCCACGAGAACCGCTGTTGCTGGTCCGACGTGCCGGTTGCCAAAGATCCAAAGTTGCCAGCGGCAAGGAGAACCCTCGCCAGCACGCCCAGGATGATGCCATGGGCAACAATGATGATGCTCTCCGTACCGTTGCTGGCACCCTGTTGCTCTTCATCTCGCTCTCCTTCGACGCAAGCGAAGAGGGGAGCGAGGTACTCGTCAACGAACCGCTCCGCACGCACGCGCATCGAGTCGTGGTCTTCGGCGCCTTCGTGTCTCTCTCTAGACGACCGGGCGCCGAACCTCTGACCCTCGCCTGTTCCAAAGTGTTTCTCCCGCAGCTCTGCTAACTGCAGCGGGGCCACCCCAACCGTTGAGGGTATGGACCCAGCGTCGGTACTAGACGATGCCTGGGCATCGGCATCGCCAGTGTGGGCTGCTAGCATCGCAGTGCGGTGGGCTCTTTGAAGATTCGACGAAAAGACATGCGTGATGGGGGCCGAGGCCGCAGCGGTTCGCGTCGCGAGATGTTCACCCAGGCGCTTGGCTTGCAAGACGCCATGGTTCGTCAAAGGTGCGTCGCGAGACCCAGCACTGCAAACACGCGCCACGCCCACAAAGAGCGCGCTGCTAGTTAGAATGGGTGACAAGTTTGACTTTTCGCTAAGAGACGAAAAAGAAAGCTGCGACCCAGACTAGAATCCGGCAGGCTCACAAAAAGCGGTATTGTGTCGGTGTGGGAAATGCGTACTAGAGGTTCGCGACATTATCGACGGATTCGCCGTGGCGAATGAGGTAGAGATGAACCGCGCCCATGGCTGCTTTTTCAAGCGGACCAAACAGCGCCTTTCTCGATATGTGCTCGGGGGGTTGCTTTTGAGGTGCCGCAGTAGGCAGGAAAGGAGAAAGCGTGAGGATGAAAGTGGAAGATTGAGGGAGAGAAAGAGGCGCGATCAGATTTTTGTAGCCGCATTGTGTGGAGCCCTCGCAGCCCTCGTTTAAGTGCATGACGACCCCTCGGCTCGCTTAGTAGAATTTCGATGCCCTGGTCAGTCTTCTTGGAATCTCGTCAACGCGTCGGCGCGTCAAAGTCCTGAAGTTAAAGTGGATTTTCATTCAAGTGACCCGCCTGTCTGCTTTCCGTTCCGATTTAGCGATTTAACTCTTCGATGTTCCATTGAAGGCTACCATATTCTACGGACAGCACATTCTAATTGGCTTCCGGATGGTAATCTCCGAGAACTCACCACTTTCTACGTGCGAAGCTCACCGCAAACAACGACCATGAAGTATAAGTCTCCCCAGCCTTGCATGGTTTCTCCTGAATCAGCACAAAGGTCGTGTGTCTCGGACTACCTAACACCACTCAACATTTGCTACTAGACTTCATTCCGAAGCAACCTAGCTTACTGCCAGAGAGCCACACATCCTGGTCTATTTTCATGCGTTAGCAGAAAGAGCATAGGCATGGCATTACATGGTTCCATGCTCTTATAGCTGTACTCACCAAGGTATCTATGGGTCTCGCGGAACTGGGTTGGGTTTCCAAATGCGCACTGGCAGACGAGGTTGCCAATCTCGTGAAGGTAGACGCAGTCCTTGCAGCTTTTTGCGAACCCTCCCCTATGGCACCGTGATTAGCGTCAAGGGTCTTATGCCACGATTTCCCTCTGGATCTTACTTTTCTTGTCCACGCAGGACTCCGTGATCGTTGATGATGCAGTCGTTGAGTTCCAGACGGGAACATTGCATGTAGGGTGGTTTGTTCAAGGGGCACGAGTAGTGGATCCAAGGGTTCTGGTCATTGCCGCCGAGACCGAAGTTGACGAAATCGCAGTTGTGGAGGAAGTTGTCGTCATTCTTCGACTTTTCGAGGTCGGCTGGGGCTGTCATTGCCAACGTTCTGGCAGCGAGGAGTACTACGAAGCACTTCATCGTGGTGTTGATTCTCTTGCCTGTCAGAACGAAATACACAGCTAGGGTGAAAGTGCATTATCGTAGGTCAGCTCTGGCCTCTACTTAAATCAGGCAAAAAGCCGAGTCAATGACGGAGGTAGCAGCTGTTATGTATTAGAGTCTCGGTAAGGCTCCGACGTGGTGAATGGGCCCAGCAGATCACAGGCATGGCCTTCTAAGCTTCGGTTCAATCCACTCGATTGGCCTGTGTGATATTGATCTGGTTGGCCGCCTCGAGGTTGTTGGCCACGAGGTCGACATGACGATTGGATGGTATTTGGGTGAATACTACCACCCTCAGAACCACGAGGGCTTCCAAGACAACAGCTGCCATAACATGATACTCCAGATACGTCGTACATGCTCCCTTTCATGACAAATTCATGAAAGAACGACCTGTTTGCTAGTATACCCAAGCTCGATAACTGGCCCCAACAAAGGTTTAGCCATGCTTTCTCACAAGCCGCCCTTGAAAGCCCATTCCGGCTCATCTGGAATGACATCGGGAGTTGTATGGAAGCGGGTTGCCATCATCTCATGCACAGTACAATCAATTACGTTCCCTCCAAATCTGTGACACCCTAGCTGTCCTCCCCTATTGTCCATCCACTCGTCTGTTTTCCCAGTAGTTGAGCGAATGCTCCAGACTTCACAAACGGTAGACAAGACAGGGATGGGAACTTACTCAAGTTCATGCTGGCCTGTACCGAGCCTTTGGGACCCTGGCATTCGCATTTCATGTTTGCGCCAATGTTCTCATACTTGCAATCCACGCAAGACTTGAAGAATGCGCCGCTTCGAGAAAAGTTAGTCGAACGAACCACCGTGCCAAGCAAACAAGTTCAACAAGAAAACATTGAAAACTTTTCACTATCTCCGGTAAACATTTTCGCCGTGGGCGTTTGCGAAACAGGCGGCCAGGGGCATCCAGGAGCACATTTGGCCTCCCTTGCCGTCGTCACACTTAGCCACGAGATAGGGGGTTGAATCCTTCTTCTTGCTACCCTCTTCTACGAGGACTCTCGGGCCGAAGAAGCGAACATCTGAGCAAGAAGCCTTGGAGTTTGCTGGTATCTTCTTCTCTATCCTGCTTTGGATGGTGTCGAGCACCGTAGAGGACTTGTATGGTGCTGCGATGGTTTCGCAGGTCATCACGAATATGGCGAGGAAGATGGAGGGGAAAATCATGGCAGCGATCAAGGCAGGTACCAGTGAGCGGATTATGTGAGAGGAAAAATTAAGGACAAGAATTTGGATAGGCAGGAGAAACTGTCGGCAAGGACTGGAGGTGGTTTGCAGTAAACATTGTTCTGAAGATAAGTCCCGAAGGTAGGATTGAAATCATGTTGTATCCCGCAAGGGAATCCGAACACCTATGACGTTCTTTGATGATACGGGGAAAATGCCTGATGAGTGCATCCTAAACGTCAAACTCTGAACATACTGTTGATTGACAATCAAAGGGCCACCATCCCAAGTGCTCTTACGCAAAATGATAAGTAACAGTAACGTTCTCACTCTAGCAGGACCCTCTCACACCAACCTAAGTATGTTGCTAGAAATCTCAGAATCAAGCACTGCATAAGGGGTAGATGCTTGTCACGAAACTGGCTATGGTTCGGATGTCTTCTGGCGACGGATTTTCACCTGCATATAACTGGTTTGCCATATGTTCGTGAATCACTCTTGCGACCCCTTGCCCGATGAAAGAGGAGAAAATGTATCACCCCTCTATGGCACATCGGTTTCACGTCCCATACCTTATGCAAAGGTATGTGTAACCTTGAACGGCCAAGTTGGATATTGCAATGGGCAATGCGGTATTTCTGATGGCATTGAAGTTCCGATCATGCGGTAGATCTTAGACTTCTTACGAACAAACAGATGACCAAGCAGTTTGACACTAACCAACCTCCCTCCAAGCCGCAAAAGAGCCTCAAGCGTCTTGGCAACGACATTGAAGAAAGCGGCGTTTTACCTACTTCATTCTATAATCCCCTAAAAACAACACAAACAAGACGTCCAAGGTTGCCGTCGCCTAAGGAGCATAGATCTGCCATGGCACTGTTCCCGAAAGAAACGCCATCGTTGCAGTGAAGACCGACGCTGGCCTCTTGTCCGTAAGAAGGACTTGAGAACATTACCTGTCTGTTCCTGGAGCACCGAAGCAGGAAGATCCATCTCAAAACACTGCCGGTAATCGGCAACGTCCCGGATCTGAATGATCATACGTGCTTTCGGCTGAAGATAGTCACCAGACGCGCCAAAGAACGTTCACGTAAGTCAAGTTTGAGGTCTATTGAATATCCGTGCATTACTCAGGAAACACTTTGACAACTCCTTGGCATCTTTCTGAACACAGGGCCACCCCGACAAGTCGGAGCCGAACCGGGCTGTGTGGGGCAAGGTACGATGGCGACTGGCCAGGCGGATCTCGCGTCATTCCATAACCGAAAATACTTTTGGGTGCGGCATCCAATTTAGCCGCCGGTAGTTCACCCCATGTGTCGGCGGCAGTCCGACATTGCGTAAAATCAACGTCCGCACTCGGACGATCACAACGAGGTACCGCGATTTTGGGACGGCGAGCGGACCATGGCTTTACCTTGACCGATACCGAATGCTTGGCTGCGTTAAGTCAGTGGGCTTTTGCCGGAATTAAGAAGATAGCCCCGTTGACGTGATGAGAGAGGATTTGCGGGCCTGAGGAGCGTACATTCAAGTAACCTTGCATGGGTGATATAAGGAACTGAGAGAAGCCTATGCGGTGTGAGAACCTCCACGGAACCTGCCTTTCTCGAGGACATACCCCGCTTCCGTCAAAATGGCAGGCTTTGGGAAGAGCACGAAGGGTTACAAAGATAACACGGTTATCACTGCCACTGCGTTGGATGCAGGTGCCCCTTCGCCAGCAGCCGACGCTTCGAATGATGTACGTCTGATTCTGGAGTCAGACGACGGCCTGAAGACGACGGATCCTGAGCGGAATGAGTCAGACGACGAGAGAAAGCTCGTCAATGGTGGTGTCGTTATTAGGGATGGTATGTAAAGTCATGTAGCTTTTGACTGAAGCGCATGGTTCTGAACACCAGCTGATTCGCGAAGGCAACGATGTAGCAAGATACGTCGTTAGTACCCAAGACGATGGAGATGCGTCTTGTACCTTTCGATCGTTCATCATTGGCTCTGGTATTATGATTCTCGGTACAATGACTGAAGCTTCGGCGAGCTAACTTTACACAGGCCTTACAGCCCTTGCGGCCTGCATCAATCAAATGTAACAAGAATCCATGTCGTTTTCTGATGTCTCGTACTGACGCAACCACGCACAGTTACTTTTATAAGCCTGTCGATGTTTCATTTGCCTCGGTGTAAGCTACATAACCCACTTCAACCAGGCCCAAGGCATCATGCTGACGAGTCGTGTCAGGTTCCTGTGCTTGTTGGCATATGTGATCGGAGTTGCTTGGTCAGTTGTGCTTCCTCGACGGCAGCATGTGGAAAAGTATCTCCCATCGCAAGCGAAATGGCTTGGACCAGTTGTTCACTTTATTAACCCAGGCCATTTTGGGTTAAAGGAACATGCCGTCGCATCGATCCTTTCCACATCGAGCGGAAATGGCGCTGCAATCGTACAGGTGTTTGGTGCAGAACGGCTGTAAGTTTGGAATCTATCCTTCAACGTGAAAGCTCGCTTCTCAACAACAACTAGGTTCTACAACCGCAGCACCGACCCTGCTACTGCAATTCTGACAGTTTTCTCGGCATCAATCTTCGGATATGGTCTCGTTGGCATCCTGAGATCCATCATCGTTCATCGTCAGTCATATTTTGGGACCCTTGCCAATTATCAGAGATGAGGATCTGTTCTGACCCAAGACAGCGAGTGAGATGGTCTGGTGGCAATGCCTCCCCATGATCTCCATCTATCAGACTCTCCACCGCGAGCCCGAAGGCAACAACAAAGACAGGCTCCGAGTGTTTGGCTTCACCTCCATTGGCATGTTTATATGGGAGCCCATAGTATCCTACGTCTGGCCCTGGCTGAACGGCATCTCCATCCCATGTCTCGCCTCTATGAAGGCCGCACCACCAACTCGGAAGGTCCTAATGACCATCTTTGGCGGCATCAACTCCAACGAGGGCCAGGGAATCTTCAACTTCTCCCTGGACTGGCAGTACATCACGTCGCGATACATGTCCCTGCCGCTCCTACAACAAGCCAACTCTTGGGTGGGCATCGTGCTCTCTTACATCATGTGCTTCAGTCTCTACTACGGTGGAGCATGGGGTGCCAAGAAGTTCCCTTTCATGTCCACGGCCATGTTTGACGGGAAGACTGGCAAGGTCTACAACCAGACGGCTGTGTTTGGGCAAAACGCGATCCTCGATACTGAGGCGTTGGAGGTACATGGGCTCCCTCGGTTGACGGCGTCCAACGTCTGGGCGAACATGGCCGCGATGGCTGCCATAGGAGCGCTACTGACCCATATCGCTCTGTTTTACGGGCCACTGTAAGTCCACTGTCCATAAACCAATCAGTTTTGTATCGCTCCCTTTCTGACTTCAGCAGCATTAAGCGGTCTTTGAAACAAGCCTGGAAGAAGGAAGAGACAGATATTCACTACAAGATTATGCAAGAAAATTACAAAGACGTACCGATCTGGTGGTACATTGTCATCCTTCTCGTCGGCTTCTTCACTGGCCTTGGTGCCGTCATCAAGGGCCACACCACGCTTGATGCCTGGGCGTATGTTTGCGCCATTGTAAGTCTACTTCGCCTTTCCCACTAATTTTATTATGACTCTTATCGTTCTCGTAGCTTCTCGGATGCATTGTCGCGCCATTTTCGCTATGCTTATACGGCCTACTGGGCACTAGCGTCGCCACGAACAACCTTTCCAAGATGCTGTGCGGCGTACTTCAACCCGGAAAACCTGTCGCCAATTTATACTTCTCGATGTTCAGTCACGAGGTTACTGTCCTCTCTGTATTCTTGTCAACTGACCTCAAGATGGCCCAATATCTCAAGATCCCGTGGAGAACCATGTTCATCCTGCAAACTTGGGGAAGTCTATTTGGGACAGCTCTGAACTACGTTATAATGGACACAATTGTAGAAAATCGCCGAGAAATCCTCCTTGACCCTATCGGCACCCAAGTTGTAAGTTGGTCTTGACCTCAAACTCTGGTCCTCAGATCTAACCCAAAACTAGTGGAGCGGACGCAAGATTCAGTCTCTTAACACGACTGCAGTCACCTGGTCTCTCGCCAAGTATGTCTATGGATTCGGCAAAGATGGTTATGGCTGGTGAATATCTCAAAGAAACTCTCGGTGCTTTGACATCTTCTCACAGCTGCTTTCAGGATTCCTCTCTCCATCGTCGTCGGGGCTGCTATCCCCGTTGCCTTGTGGCTTGTATCCAAGAAGTACAAGACTATCTATGGCTGGGAAGTAAGCAAGTTCGTCACCCCTGTCATATTCCACAATGCCTCAGAGACGACATCTGGAACTACTTCTGTCATCTGGTCTCAGGTCGTGGTTGGCTTGTGGTCTCAATGGTACATGCGTTTGCGTCATCCTGCCTGGTTCGGCAAATACAACTACATCGTCGGCGGTGGTCTCGATGCAGGCGCCAAGGTCATGATGTTCATCTTGACCTTTGCCGTTGCGGGTGGATCAGGGAAAGAGGTGCCATTTCCCACGGTGAGTATTGTCAATAGATTGAGATTAAGTCTATAGTTTCCTCTAACAACATTGCAGTGGTGGGGAAACCCGGAATCCAGTTCCAAGCAGTACGCTGATTACTGCGGTACTGGCTAGACTCCTCATCTGGAGTCTGACTGAGTTAGTCTAAGGACTAAGAATGGAATTATTGGTCAAGTCTCGATGGCAGCTCCTAAAGGCATCTAGAATAGCCATCGGTGTAGCTTCATGCATCTCAAAACTTCCAAGACAAGCATCACAGCATCATTGTAGCTCAACCTTCAAGAGAAGACTTGGGGTAACTATAGGAATGATGGCTAGATTCACAATGGCTCCAGTGCTCCTTGCCCACTAATGGGCTCAGGCACCGCATCCCTCGCCAGCTTTTGCCACGCCTTCAACCGGCGCTGATCGACCCAATTTCCGTGGACCTGTGCCTTGACATGGAAGGGCAACTGAATGACAGCGATGGGATTTTCGAAATCCTTCGTATCCAGCACCACAATCTCGTTTCTGTTGGCACCTCTGCGCTCAACCATGGTCATGACCCATCCGTCTCCCTCCGGCGCATCATCGCTTCGTGGTATGAAGATCGGCTCCTGACAGAACGACTCAGGCCCGGCGTTGAAGCACTTGGTTTCTTTCGTCTTTGAATTGTGCATCGCCAGACCGTTCAGTCCTTCGACAATAGTATGGCCATCACCGCTCTGGTCTTCGTGAATGTAGACATTGATCCAGACGTAGTTATATGACTTCGACAGGAAACGCTCATCAAGCCGAGGGAACTCTGCAGGCATGTCGAGAATAATCTCCGGATCTGGAACCGTGCTATTCGTGGGCTGGGAGAGATCAAAAGTCCAACGAACGTAATCAGACTTGGGATTAGGGGCCGGATAAACTCCTTCGTTCGTAGGGAAGAATGGAAAGCCATTGTCGTGCACACGAGTCGTCTCCATGAACAGCGTCTCCCCGTCCTCGCTCTCCCACGCACCGCCCGTGTGAATGAGCATGCAGTTCTTCCACGAGTACACCCGACTCTCGCCCGGCTGCCAGCCAGGCGGAAGCTTGGTCGAACTTCGACGGGGGGCTACGATGAAGGTAGCAGGAAGATCATAGTCCCAGGCCCAGTGGTGCCCTCCCTTCTTCATGCGATCCACGCTAGCTTCGAATGGCCAAAGTGCCAGGATGATCCAGTTTGGCGTGATGGCACAGTCGTGGATTGGTGCGCACCACGGTGACTTAATCCATTGCTCGTCGTGCTTCACGCCGTTGCTGTCCAGTGCGTAAATGACAATGTCCAGCGACGCAAGACCTCTGGCCTCATATCCGAATACGACTAGCTCATTCGTGTAGGGATCGATCTTGGGGTGAGCTGTAAATGTCTTTGCTTTGATTTGTCCAAAAGGGTCGTATTTGATGGTTTCCAAGGTCTGTGGGTCAACTGAATAGGGCAGTCCTCCTTCTTTCAGGGCGAGAAAATGATCGGCCCATAACACGACGTTGGTGTTGGCGGTGGAATCCACTGCGGCACGAACGCAGGGGTGATGGGTGAATGGGTTGCGATAGAGACCAAATAAGGCCTTGTTGGCCTTGCGCTCGAGCTTGTAACGCTCGGTTTCGACGTAGCGCATCTTCATATCGACTCTCCCATCTTTGATACGGAATGCTGAGATGTTGCCGTCGCCGTCTAGGGGAACATTGTTGGGATGGGGCGGCACGAAGGGGTCTGTCATGACTCGGTAGAAGGTGCCGTCGATCTCCTTTGGGATTTCTCCCAGGACTACTAAGTCGCCAATTTCACCTTCAAGACGGCATGGCAGATTGGATCCAGCGAGATCGTAGGCCTCCGGCCACTTCGTAGTCAGACCATAATTCGAAATTGCATGTGTCTTGGATGAGGTGGCGACCTCAGCCGCTTCGTCGTCTGTTCGACCAGGAGCCATTGCTTTCTGTAGTTGAGGGGGCAATGTTGTGTGAAGTCTTGTTTGCTGACGAGGATAGTAGTGTTAAATGCATTTGTAAACGGCATCTTCCAGCTATATCTTATACTAAGAATGATCAGACGATACATTTCATAAGGCAATAACAGAACGATGGCCATTGACCTCAATAATGGGCAAAATGTAACTACCGAAACCTCACCCCTTGCCAAGTCAGAATAGAGTTCACCGGCCCAGACCCTTGCGGCCGGCCCGCGGGTCATTCACACTATTTCCCCAGAATTCCCCGCATCAAGGGCGGCCGCCTCTGCTTCTAAGCGCCAAAATGGGGCCTCGGTGAGCTGTCGATGACCTCCATCGGGCACCTCCCCAGGGATGTGCTGGAAATCTAGTCCTAAAATTATCAATCACGGATGTAATTCCTATCCGTCATCTCAACCCGTCAAGGATGATTCCCATCCTTGAGATCTGTTATCTCGTCCGCCGGTCGTCCGAAGCCATAGATCCATCCGGCTTGAAACCTCATGTGACACCAGACTGACATAGACCCATCTACTGGAGCTGACATTGCCTTTACATCACTTGGGATTGGTCGTTAGTATTGCATCTCTTCACATTGGCTGATTGATCAGAAGAGCCGCTCAGGAGCCTCCCAGGAGCAGTTCTTCTGCTGCCTACGGATACCACTTGGACTCTACTTGGGTTTCATTAGCGCTACCTCGGGTATGTGGCGGCCATAGACCTGCATCGGCATAGTGCCGAGTTTACTGGGTCTGTGCAACGACATGTCGAGTGGTCATCTTCTAGCAATGCGATCCCGAGACGGACGCGGGGCAGTGTCCCGGCCCGTAGGATCATGAACAGCGTGCGAGTTCCCGGAGCAAAATTGCCTCCCATGATGTCTCAATCTCCTTTCGCCCGGAGCAGCCCATTATCGTCTTCAATGTTTTTCGTCCTCTATAGCGTCCCGATCGTCATTTTCGTGTCGACTAAGAGCTAGTTGCTCTGTGCTAAGTGAGACCTTAGACAACCAAACAGTCTCTCCGGGGCCACTTCCACATCATGCCTGGATTTCTCAGTCCGGCAGTCAGGCCCGGACGGCAGTTGCAGATCAATCCGCTTCAAGCAAATTATCGGAACGCAGGCGGCTCTAAATTGATAGCCACTTCAGAAGATGCTGCCAAAAAATCGCTAGGGTTCGGGGTATCGAATGAAATAAACGTCTTTGACACCAACAACACCGTCAGTCACTTTCTGGTTCTAGAAACGACACCATAGGCTGAGCGATTCATTCGAATGACTTACAGTCTTTCTGGCCATCTAGTCAAACATTTCTCTTGTTCATCACAAGCTCAGGTGGAACCCCTCTGTTCTGCCTGATGAGAAGCAGTGATCCCCCCAACGGCACCAGCAATGATGCCACCAACGATGAGGACGGCCATCGCGAGCACAAAAATCCAATATCGTCGAAGCCACGATCGTTTGCTCCGGGATGCCATGGGCTCCGTTGAAATGGGAATCGCTACGTATGTACCGGAAGGCCTGTTGTCGGATCGATCGACTGCCGCAATGTCTGGAGGCGCCAGCTCCCGCTTCTTGCCGTCTTCAACAATAGCCGAATGCCCAGACCAGTCGCTGATTGCCATCTGATCACTGTATACTGTTCGGGCGGATTGCAAACGTCGAGGGACAGTTGACGTTGAAGCAGTTGAGAGCGGAGTTCGGTTCTTAGTTTTACATTGGACGGCTGAGATGGAAAGGTCGATGAAGACTGGAAGGAGGTTGATTACCTTTCGAATCACACGTGTGCAACAATGCGAAGGCGTGCTGCATATTTCAAGCGAACAACGGTTGGTGTATTCCCACGTGCCCCTTGCACAGAACATGCGCCTGCTCGGGATTTCCGGCATTTGTACGAGGCAATCAAGAGACAAGTGTCTCTGGTGCGCATGGTCAGCTTGCAAGTCAAGCTAGTCAACGGCGAATAGTGTTGACGGTGGGGTGCCTCTCTTAGTCGCCAATTCGCGCTAGCTGTGATATTTAACTTTCTTCGATAACAAGGTACTCAGACAGGTGATGTGCGAATAAGCACGTTGACTCTGCGGAAAGGCGTTGGAGATTTGACAGAATCCCGCTGTGGCGACACGAGCGAACACTTCCCTAGCTTGGTGACGACCAAAAGAAATTACGCAAGCCGTGTTTTCGTGAAACGCTTTGCTTTTCTCAAAAGTGCCCTCACAGCTCGATGCAGCTCGATGCACGCGTCAAGCTGAGCCTTGAGAATTCTCATTTTTACATCAGCCGAGGCACGATCGCCGCAATGAAGAAAAGCTCGGCTCGAGAGGTTGAGCTTGTAATAGGCAAATGATCTTGATCGTGTCTTTACTCTCCCACGAATTACGCGGTCGAAATTTTGTTTACGCTCTGTGATACATCAGCGGCGCTGGGATGTCCAATGTCTTAGCCAAGGGTCACTGGCTCGAATCGACCGCGTGGGCCTGAGACTAGCGCCAGTTGGAAAAACAAATATGGACGCCTCCACGGAGCAAACTCGTACCACTCTGGAACACCGATGCGTGTCTTCACTCTCCCTTCGCTCAGGCCCCGCCGGAAAAGCCGGGTTTCCTAGGTCCGAACAGGACTATCGATAAATTGAAGTTCATGAGATAAGAGCTCGCGTGTAGTCATTTCAGATCAAAGCTTTGGCTAAATGTTCATCACACAATCAGAGTTGATGGAAGAGAACGTTAAACCCGTCTCCTAATTCAGGAAGAGAATATTCCAGTTCTCCGAATTCTAGGGTATTCGTAGTCCACCTCATATGCACTTACAAGAAATTGACAGCTCCGGCCTCTCATGCGCTGATACGGCTGGGTGTGCTTGACAATTCCGTGGAAGCATTCTCCTCAGCCCGAAATGCCTTGAAACGTGAAGACGTAGCACATCTACAAATAAGAATAACAAGGAATTGAATGCATTGTAGGCTCAATAATGTTGATGATTTGCTGACATTGCGCCTCGGCTTTGACGATTCTTCTTCGTGTCAATCGCAACGCTGCTAACTGGTGAGAAAGCCTTGGCATAGGATGAAGCCTACGAGCGCACCTAGCTGGGATAGATCGTGAACCGAACTTGTTTTGCGAGTAACAGATAAGGCCTGGGAAGCGCAATATTTCTCCTTACCATTTAAATGATTTGGAGACCTTATCCACCAAGAACTTCCGACTGCTGCCGTCAGAGGGCCAATGAGTTTTAAGGATCGCCAGGGCCCAATAAATAGCCTCTTGTAACCCACAGGACCGGACCGTCGCCGCCATCCCGACAGAAATTACTAAAAGCGGGTGACACATCGACCGTCTTTCGGGCACTAAGCACGGGTGAGAGATGTCGCAGTCTGGAACTCTGGTCACGCAATAGCTGAATGGCAGGGGCTTATCTGGACCCAACCGCGACGGAACGCCCCGGTCTCTCGCCCGCTCTCACATCGCGGCCTCCGTTACCGTCGGTGATTGGACTGACAGTGCGGTGGGAGGCGAGAAATGCAACGTTTGCCCTACACCTGGTGGGTTTTGCCCAGACTTTGGCCTCTTCAAACACCTGCAACCTGGGCGCGGGATGGCAATCTTTTTGGATCGCGACATCGAAAATCACTTCATTCGGAAGAATTCGCCCAACTTTTCCTTGACGACTTGAATCGTAATGACGGTTTCTTTTAGCTAATCCAACCGAGATGGCTCTTTATATAGTCATGAAGCAGCGCCTCGTCTTTTACCAGATGGGACTTCCTGATCTCGCTCACGAGGTCATTTCCACCCTCTTATATTTCGGGGGTCTTCAGTCTTTGCTTGCTGGTAAATGTCACTGAAGCCACAATGGGCGAACCCACATCAGTGACTTTGTCGACACCCAGGCCTGGGACCGAGGAACCCATCAACTATGGCCCCCCACAAGAAGGCATCTTTAAGCACATCTCGAAGATCATTCCGTACTTTCGCGACCCTAGAAATGTCCTAGTCTTCAAACTAGACGTCATGCTGCTTGCATGGATGTTCCTGGCAGGCATCATGAAGGAAATGGATCAGTCTGCCACAACCCAAGCCTACGTCTCCGGCATGAGAGAGTCCCTCAGCCTATACGGCAATGAGCTTGTCGAATTCAATACCTTTTTCTCAATTGGGTATGCTCTGGGCTTGGTACCTGGCCAGTTGATACAGACAAGATTCCGTCCCTCAATGTTCCTTCCATTCTGTGAGATGAGCTGGGGGCTGCTGGTACTCTTGTAAGTCTCCAACATCTTTCTTATCGAACGCCATCTCACCACTAGCGCAGCACATACAAAGCCCCGAATGCGCAAACGATCTTCGGTCTCCGGTTCTTCCTCGGACTGTTCTCGTCTGCCTTCTGGCCAAGCGTCGTCGCCCTCATATTCAACTGGTACACCCCCGCCGAGCTCGCCGTCCGAGTCGCCTGCTTCACAGTGTGTGACGTTGCCGGCGCGATGTTCCTCGGTGCTCTGCAAGCAGCTCTGTTTCGCGACATGAACGGTGTTCATGGCCTCGCCGGCTGGCAGTGGCTCTTCATCATCGCCGGCTCCGTCACAGTGGGCCAGGGCCTCATAGCCTTCGTCACCGTGCCCGACTCGCCAGCGAATACGCGCGCCATCTATCTCACTGAGAACGAGAAACGCCTGGCTCGTGAGAGGATGGGAAACTCTGGCGTCAACACATCCAAGCGCATTCCGGCATCCGTACTCCGCCAAAAGCTGCGAAAGCTTATTGTTCATCCAGTCACGTACTTCTACCTCTTCTCTTTTGCCTTTGGGGCTTGGGCTCATAGGGCAAATTCCTACTTTGTCCTGTACCTCGAAAGCATCAAAGACTCAGCCGGCAACCGCGTTTATGACACGTACCAGGTCAACATCCTGCCCTTGGGTGGGTACGCCTTGCAAATTGTCACCAATATTGGTCTCAACTGGCTTTCCGACTGGAAGCGTTGGCGTTGGCAGATAAGCATTTTCTCTGCCGCAGCTCACGGCATCTGTCTATCAGTCTTATGCGGGTGGCCGTCTGATCACAAAGTCATCCTTGCGTTTTACTTCCTCACGTATGGCACCAACGCCGGTGGCCCATCGCTCATAGCATGGATGGCTGAGATACTCCGAAAGGAGCCCGAGGCTCGTTCCATTATCGTGGCCTTGACTGTCACAGTGGTCTACATTGGTCATGCGACTATACCCCTGGGCGCCTTCCGCGTCGCAGACGCTCCAAGATACCCTATCGGATTCCCTCTTACAACTGCGTTCACCGTGGCTACGATTCTGACACAGCTTGGTATGTTGTGGTGGGATGGGCGGCATCCACAGATGGCAGAGTACGGATATGAGCCAGCCATCAGTGCCCAAGGTTTTTCGGACGAGGAGAACGCCAAAGTTGCTGAATCGGAAGCTCCTGTCGATGGAGGTAACGATAAGTCAGCTCAGATCTCGGGTACGAAAGAGCTGTAGATCCACTTTTGACAAAATTGACATACATCTGAGACCTTGTGTTCACTGTATCCGACGGAGAAGGTGCACAAGAGTGGGCCTTCCTTCCTTCCCTAGTAGGCATATTCTGTTTATTCCGCCTGCACCCAGCCTCGATGCCCACATGATGAACAAAAATGCTTCATTCTGTCACCAAGGCCTGTGTCGTAGCGGAGAATGTCATCGCATTGATTGAATAGCTCCGCACGCATAGGTCCCGGGTTCGAGTCCCGTATTGTTCTTGTAAAAATCCTTGCATCGTTACACCTGAGACTGGTAAGAGTCTCCTCGGATCTTTCGTAGGCTCCCTGTGTTAGGGGCCGAGCTTTTTGCACCTAGGCAATTAGAACATCAGGACGACAGTGTATGTTTGTATTTTTTCTGAGGGCTTGATTGGTTGATTGGTTGAACTCTACCTACTCATACCTTATTAAGCTGACCATCCCAGTCGAGGATCTGAAGAGGTCAGACATACGAATCCCACCACCACCAAAATAACGAACATCACCCAAGCACATAGCTCCTTGCTTTCCGATATCTCATAAGAGGGATCAGTAGAGGAAGTAGATGCTGGTCTCTGGTCGACCTCAATATCTGCTGGAACTAATCTGTATCTGTGGGTGGTTCCTTCAGTATCCACAAGGTAGAGCTGCGGAGACTTCATACAAGGCCCTGCGGCCCAGCTTCGATGAAATGGTTGACTTTGTCTCTGCGATGATGCATCCTTTTGGGTGGGAAACGTTCCATAAGAAGCAGCAGGTAGTTCGAAATCTTGTGGGCAGTCCAACAAGGTCGAGCATGATTCGTCTCCCGAGTCAGAGGAATCCGACATTTTTGCTTTTAGATCGATGTGATCTGAGATCGGCTTTGAAGTTCACTGGCGGCTAATGTAGATACTAGGATGATGGGGCCCAGTGCTCGAGTGACAAGTTTGGGGCCGAGGTGATGGGGAGGTAAAGACTGCTAATTTCATGGTCTCCGGGGTTTTTATAAGCGTGGTAGCACATAAGACACCAACAGCAGGTTGACGGTCGTACCAAACGCAGCGATCTGTGTATTGACAAAGCAAATGAACATGGGTTCTCGCATATTGTTCTCGTGTCGCACCGGGAAAGCCTGACCTCTGCCCCCTACTCTCCCCGCGAATGAAGGTAGAGCCAGAGAACCTTTGAACACTTGTTCTGATTCCCTGGGATAAAAGTCAAACACGAGCAGCGGGTTTGTGGACGAAAGACCCGCGTCATGTTGGTATTGGTGGTAGAATGCCACAAGAATTTTGCATTACATATGCATTGCTTCGAGTTAGACAGTAAACACACCCTCCAGCTGAAATCTTAACATCAATTAATTGCCCTTGATTTTCAGTCTCTGCTTTCGTAAGCTTTTGGTACGTGATGTGGTAGAGTAGCTGCCAAAAACCACGACCCGTGGTTCCTATGCCCCAAAGATCGTCGTAAGCAATTAGGCACACGACTATGGATGAGAGAAAACAGTAATCTGCAAATAAATCCCGTCAATATTCTTTCATCTCTGGGTAGTGAATACTACGATTTGTGTGCAACGCCGTGGCATCACGAGTAGAGTTCAGACAGGGAAGTGTGGGGAGAGGTCTGGTCGAGAGACCTACCACAATGATAATGGCAATCACCACCATCAGAGAAAAGAATATGACATATTCCACATTTCTGATCCCAGAAGAGTTTTCCATCGAGTCAATTTTGGAGAGAATGGAGCCTTCAAAATGGCGTGGGTGAATATTGCGTTTCGGAACTTGGAGTTGTTGGCTTGATTTCTCCCTGTCACCAAGAAGATCTTCAAGACTTTCCAGATCTTGTCTCGGGTCTTCCACGGCTTGATTCTTTTCGACTTCTGCCGGCACGAGGCGATACTTTTTGTAATTCCCTTGGCTGTCGATTAAATAAAGCTCGGGAATATTGGCAATCGATGGTCCCGCTACTGAATGGTTGGCTTGCTCCTGGTAACGAGTCTGGTCTCTTCGCCTTCGTTTCTTCATGTTGCGATCATTCTCACGTCCGCCGCTTATCGGAGCCAGGCAAACGCGATCCGACAGGGCATCTTGGCGAGAACTATCCAAGTTCCAGTCAAATAAGGTAGACATGTCGGAATCATCATGGGTGTCTGCATATGATTGACAGTCGGTTCCAGACCGGTCGCCAGAGTCGAAAAGGACATCGTCATTAGATGAGTCCGACATCCCCAAGTGTATGATTGTTGAGGGCGGTGAAGATTACAGTCGCTTTGCAGAGAGAAGCAAGAGTAAGGGAAATACTTGTTGTCAAAGGGCATGCAAACAACTGTGCACTTATTTATGAGACGCATGAAGGTGATCATTCAATGAAGGTAAACTCGGAATCTGTTAAGGCAACAAAGGATTGCTTGCTAATTGCGTAACAGCGTTGATGTTTCAACTCATGCAGCTATCCGCAGAATTACAACAACATCAAAGGGCCAAGAAGCAAACACCATGGATCTGCAATTCACATTTCGATCCAGACCTGTCTATCATTTTAGAGACACTTCTGGCCTGTGGGTGACAGATATTACTAAACTGCCAAAACCTTTTGACCGTGCTGGGCGTTATCGTAATGAGGAAGCGACGCGTTTGCTCACCGAATATGGTCCCACCTTGTCTTGCGGTCTCATTGTGCTACTCTACACGTTGTCTAGTATTGGCTCAAAGATCATAGAGAAGGACAAGAGCTCGTCGCCTACGCTTACCGCTCAACTTACACGCAGGCTTTTCTCCGAGCGAAGGCGCTCCATTCTCTTTGTCACAAGACCTTTGCTTACTATAATTCTGATGTCGCGTGGATTGCAGATGGAATAAAGTACGGCCGCTTCGTAAATCCCAATCCATCACCGCTCCTCCGGTGATATATATCTCCGCATTTCGCAGAGCGGAGTCAGCGACTGGTCCCGGGACTGGATCGGATGTGGTATTTGCGGGGCCCCGTGGACTCCGGAAGTCTCCGGACAGGGTTCCGGCTGCTGCGGGTTTAGCCTAAATGCGCCGAATGCACCGAAGTGATCGAATCAAGGCAAGTTTTGCTCACGCGTGACAGGAGACTCCGTCGCGTTTACCGACGATACTCCGAGACGGCCCGCTCATCCTACGGGGAAGGACAGTATTTCGGCGGTTTTTGTGCTTCGGACTCGGGTCTGTGCTGACCGAATCCCTAGATGACACCGCATAATATTGACCGGAAGGCCACTTGAAGCTTGATAGCTGTCCGAGATCACCGGGCTTTCCAAATTCCCCTAACTTCAATCACTTGAGCTTCGTCAGATCAAGGGATTATCAGTATCGTCGAGATGGCTGCTGAGTTCACCCCCCTCGACGTCGAGGCGTTGATCAAGCAAATGACCGGGGACGAGAAGATCGAATTGCTTGCTGGGCAGGGATCTTTCCGAACGACCGGTCTACCTCATCGCCAAATACCAGATCTCATTGTTAGCCGGCACTTTGCCTAGGGATGAGCATCTTGCTAACCTCCCGTGCAGACCTCAGACGGCCCTCATGGCATCCGAGGACGTCGTTCTTTTGCTCGTGTTAGTCCAAGTCCTTGATCGCTCTGGGCGACGAGAAGCCTTCAAATTTGGCCATTCTTTGGCTCCGATACTGATAAATGATTTTCTTCCCCAGAACCCGAGCCCCATGCTGCCCTCTGCCACTGGTATGGGCGCAACTTTCAACGCCGAATTATTGCACAAGGTCGGCAATCTTCTTGGAGAGGAGGCAAGAGCCAGAGGGGTGCATGTGCTGTTGGCACCTACCATCTGCCTCCAGCGTTCACCATTATTCGGACGTGGCTTCGAGGCGTTCGCCGAGGATCCCTTCCTGAGCGGCATTCTCGGAGCAGCCTACATCAACGGTGTGCAAGAACGAGGTGTTGCAACGAGTGTCAAGCATTATGCCGCGCACGATCAGTCGGATAATTCCATTGAAGATAATGTCTGCATGACGCAGCGGACCTTGAGAGAGATCCATCTCATGCCATTCCAACTCGTCGTGCGCGACTCAGACCCCTGGACCTTTATGACCTCTTACAATAAGATCAATGGTATTCACGTTAGCGAAGACCCTTTGCTGCTGAAGCAGGTTCTTCGAGATGAATGGGGCTTCAAGGGACTCGTCATGAGCGACTGGTTTGGTACGTACAGCACCTCTGAAGCCATCAACGCCGGGCTGGATCTGGAGATGCCCGGGCCCACACAATGGAGAGGCAAGTGTCTAAGTCTAGCTGTCAACAGCCGCAAAGTCGCGCGTACGACAGTTGACGAGGCTGTTCGGAATGTTCTCAATTTGGTGAACAAAGTGAAGGATACGAAACCGGCTGGCTATTTCGCGGCATCGAACACACCCGAGCAGCAGGCTCTGATTCGTCAACTGGTCGCTGAAAGCATCGTCTTGCTAAAGAATGATCGCAAGGTGCTCCCCATCACAAAACCAGAAGGGAAGACAATCGGATTGATTGGCGATCACGTCAAGAACCCTGCTTTGAGTGGAGGTGGCAGTGCAGAGGTTGAGCCTTACTACTCCGTGACACCTTACGATGCTATTGTCGAGGCAGTTGGAAAGGAAAACGTATCATATGCCCTTGGTTGCCATTGTAAGGTTTCACTCAACATACTTGGGATATTTGATATTAACAGCAGTCGCAGCCTTCAGATTCAGCCCACTTCTAAAGAATTTAATGCCTCAGCAGTCACAGCACAAAGGGTTTGGGTGGTCAGTTGAGATCTTTGAGGAGAATCCGGACGAGAACCCTAACGCAGAAGTACTCGTGACGGCTCACGCCCAGAAAGAACTCATAGATGTGCCAGAGAGTTTCCACGCGTCGCTTCCAAAGAAGTTTTACGTCAGAGCCCGGGCTATATACACGCCTTCCGTCACGAGCCCCTTCAGATTCGGCTTCAGTACATCGGGGAAGGGCAAGCTCAAAGTAGACGGGAAAGATGTCATCGATTTATGGACGGACCAGCCGCCGAAAACAGGGCCTACGCCTTGCTTCAACAGGCTTTCCATGGAAAAGTTTTGCAACATAGATGTGGTTGAGGGTCTAACCCTCGAACTTGAGGTTGTTCAAGTAAACGAGGACCTCTCAGGAGGTGTTGGCACAGCTTTGACTCTTGCAGGCCGCGTTGGTGGATTTGAGCTCATTGATGAGGAGGTCGCCATCAAAGAAGCTGCAAACTTGGCCAAGGAAGTCGATATTCCTATCGTTGTGACTGGACTGTCATCAGATTTCGAGTATGAAGGGGCCGACCGAAAGCACCTCAGACTGCCAGGCCGCGTCGACGATCTAATCGAAGCAGTGCTTCAAGCCAATCCAAATGCTGTAAGTAGCTTCCCTTCTTGGCCGAACACACGAGGGCAACCGCGAGTTACAAATGTTCGATACTAACACATCCTCAAAGGTAATTATCACTCAATCAGGTTGTCCAATTGAGATGCCGTGGGAATCGAAAGCAGCTACCTTGGTGCACGCATGGTTCGGCGGCCAGGAGACAGGCCATGGCCTCGCAGACGTTCTCTTCGGCAAAGCCAATCCCTCCGGCCGCCTATCTCAGACGTTCCCTGTGTCCATCAAGCATACCCCCGCATACCTCTCATTCTCAAAGTCTGACTACGATATCGTGTACGGTGAGGGGGTCTTCATCGGCCACCGCTACTACGAATCAGTTGACAGAGATCCGCTCTTCTACTTCGGCCAAGGCCTGTCCTACTCAACGTTTGAGTACTCGAAGCTTGAGGTGCCAAAGACATTTGGGCCGACGGAAGATTACAAAATGAAAGTCTTGGTTGACGTA